TACTTGGAAAGAAATGCCAAATGCTTTTTATTTCTTAAAATTCATCAAATCAGTATTAATAACAGGAAGAGAAGAAGAAGGTTTTAAGTCAAAACTTGCAGAGGAAAACCTGCTATTGCAGCCCTGAAGTTCAGGCAAGCAGGGAGAAAAGAAAGCTCAAAAGAAGCTCCTAACCACCATCTTGTCACTGAAAATTCCCATACACCACTTCTCAGAGAACTTGTTCATCTCAGATGGGTCTGAGCTCACATGAGTGAATGCGTGCAGATGCTGAACAGGCATCTGACTTCTGCAGACATCTCATGCCAGGTATGAACTCAGTTGCTAGTCCCTACTACATCGGCATTTGATTTTGTTTTAGAAAGTACTCATATACTTCTTTCTCTGCCTTACGATGGGCAGTTGTTTCCTTTCCAAAAATTAACTAGAAAATGTTATCCATAGCAGTCTAGTATTTTCTATCTTACCCTGCTTCATTTCCCCCTCTGCTCTAAACACTTTTTTAAATTTCTTTTTACGTTTCTCTAGTTAGGCAAAGTTAGTTCAAAAGTTTTCTCCTTTCAAAATCGTCGTGAGGTCACCAAAGCGTGTGTATTCTGCAGGTCATTATATACTGCAACACCATGTTTGTCTAGCCATGGTGTTAATAATTTAAATAATAAATCACATTATTTAGAGTGATATGTACCATCCCCAGAGCAATAGTCACAGAGTCTTCGTTGCTTATACCTGAAACGATACCTTTATTTGTCAGTCAGTAGGAGCCTTTGCCGTGGGAGGGCCTGCATTTATCCATGAAGTTTCAAGTACGCGAGACCTCAGATGGCCCTGATGTGTAAGCCAGTTCGCTGCAGAACTTCAGTTTCTACTTTTCAGTTCTTTTTCATGAAAGTAACCAGTTATGTAACTGGTACCAGTAACCAGCCCATGAAAAAAGGAAATGAAAAATTAAATTCATAGAAAACTCAGAGAACAAGTTGCATTATGTCATGTCCTAGGACGTGAATCCTGATACAGCCAAGCCACCTGACGGCTGTAACATATCAGCCTAGGGGATATGTAGTCCACTGGAAAGCACGCTGTGAGCTACAGGACTGAGAACTCCCAAAACATTCTCTCTCAGGATCAAAAACATTATTTTGCAAAGCAGACAGCCTAAGGATTACCTTGCTCTCTGATACTTGCCCTCATATACGTTAATATGCTGAGCTGTCAGCCAGAAGATATTTACTTGTATCCTTACCTCAGAGGGGCAATGAGGGCCAGAAACAAAAGGAGCAGAGCTTGATGCACTGAGAAATAGAAAATCTTCTGTACAAAGATGCAGCTGAATGTGTCTTATTTATCACATCAGAGATCGCTGCTAACTTCTTAAAAGTAAAGATGCAACGCTGGTGTAAATCAGAACAGAGCTGCATTCCTTGTCTGTTCTCAGACTGGCTTAAAAGTTGTATTACTATCTGCCTGATGCGTATCTTATACCAGAAAGTGTCATACCCCTAAACTGGCTCCTGGGTTTGCCTGAGTAATATTGTCATTCTGTCACCTTCAGTGTTTCTAGGGTGGTTGGAGCAAGCTGAGAAGCCAGACCCAAAACCCTAGCAAAGGTGGTAAACCATGCAGTAAAACATCTTCTTGATAAAAAATTTGCTTTTGTTTTTGTTTTTTTTATGCAGGGTACTACAGGGAAAATATAGCTGGAGACAAAAAGCTGGTAATTTAGTTGATGACAGAAGAAAAAAGAACTTTTCTAGTACTGGAAATCTGACATAAGTTTCTCGAAAATATATGGTGCATGAAGAATGCTCTATTTGTGAACATTATGTGTGCTGTGTTTTACTTTATTACCTTCTAGTCTCCCATAAAAACTCTCTGAAAAAAAGATTCTACAAAATGTGCCTTTTTGCTTTCATCATTTCTCCTTCTAAAAAGAAAACTAAGGAGGTTTTGCCTCATCTTTGCTTGTAGGAGTTAAGTGCCCCTGTTAGAAGGGTCATGCCTAGGCTAGGACAGTCTCTCTAGGTTTCTTGCATGGCCCCTGGAGATAAATCAGGAAAGAAACTGAATTTAGTGTATTTGTCTCACTCTGAAGAGAACTCATTTTCTGATTGCCTGAGAGGTGGGAAAACCAGCTTGAAACCCTTATTCCAGATCAATGAGGAATTCAGTTTCACCGAAAATGTTTAACATCCTTTGACGAGTTGTAGTAATTTGGCCACATAGCGTTTCAGTGGGAGAATGGTGATATGGACTATTTCATCAAGCAAAATGGCTTTTCCAGGTTGAAGGCTATGGAATTACAGTATTACAGATACACTGTCATTTTCTTCAATAGTAATTTCCCTCGAGGACAAGTTTGCTTATGCCATCTTAAGTGCGGTATTCACTACTGTGAATGAGCTCACTCCCTAGATCCATAGCATGTTAACAACTAAAAAAAGTAAGTTTTCATGCATGAGAAATTATGACACTCTAAGCATCAGTATTCTGCTTTATGCTATATTTCATTCCCTATCACACCAGTCTAGACTGCAATATTAGCCAGAAATTGAGGTTACATGATGGTATTAAATAAAAGAAGGGAATTGTATTTTCTTTCTTTTCTTCTTTTTTCTTCTTACTCATGCAGTAATAAGTTAGGCACATCTGCAATTCAGAGTTTTATAGCTGGGGTGCTACTAAGCATTGTGGATGGCCTCTGTGGAAAATTTAATCTCTCTCATGTTATGCAGAAGATCCAGACACTCCTCTGAGCCTCACTGTAGAAGCTGTAGGAGCAGTAGGATCTTACAAGCATGTTCAGGCCTGCACATTCAATAGCTCATAGAATATGCATAAGTCCTTTAGATTCATATGTTCAAAAAGATAAATTAGCCCAACTTGTCCAATTCTTCAGCACCAGCTACCACCTCTAGATATGGCAAGTGGAATGGAGGGGGAGGAAAGGTTGTCTTCCGTTGATTCAGATGAGGGAAATAAGGCATCAGGAAACACAAATGTTATCAGAAGGGGCTTTTTTGCAAGCCACACTTTGTGCAGCTGTAGCTATTCTGCTTTATACCACAGCTGTGCTGTGCCCAAAACACTGACAGGAAAGCTGAGCTTCCCATCACAGACAAATTAAGCAAGGTTGTATGGGAAGAGGGAAGGGAAATGGGGAAGCAGCCTTTAGTAAAACCAGCTGCACTTACGCAAACCCCAAGCAGCACAGATTTACAAGGAATGAGGCAACAAGCAAAAAGTGACATGGCTTAACATTTGCTAAAACCGTTTCGGCAGGATGAATTGCCTACCATGGAAGCCTTTTCTAGCCAATACTAATTTCAACAAGCTGCTAAACCTCTGTATTGCTGTCCTGGTTTCGGCTGGGATAGAGTTAATTTTCTTCCTAGTAGCAGGCATAGTGCTGTGTTTTGGATTTAGTAGGAGAAGAATGTTGATAACACACTGATGTTTTTAGTTGTTGCTAAGTACTGCTTATGCTAGTCAAGGACTTTGCAGCTTCCCATGCTCTGCCAGCTACACAAGAAACTGGGAGGGGGCACAGCCAGAATAGTTGACCCAAACTGACCAAAGGGTTATTCCATACCATATGACGTCATGCTCAGTATATAAACTGGGCGGGGGTTGGCCGGGGAGCAGCGATTGCTTCTCGGAAACTGTCTGGGTATCGGTCGGCAGGTGGTGAGCAATTGCATTGTGCATCACTTGCTTTGTATATTATTATTGTTATTATCATTATTATATTGTTATTATTATCATTACTATTTTACTTTATTTCAATTATTAAACTGTTCTTATCTCAACCCAGGAGTGTTTCTCACTCTTACTCCTCCAATTCTCTCCCCCATCCCACCGGGGCAGGGGGAGTGAGCGAGCGGCTGCGTGGTGCTGAGTTGCTGGCTGGGGCTAAACCACAACAATTGCTTATGCCACTACAGACTGACATCAGCAGCAGGAGGAAGATGTGCAATGTCAGTGTAAGCAGAGGAAGGTGGCCCACTAAAGTACCCTGTTAAGAAGTGCTTGGCGGAAGTGCATGAATGCTAATGCATTTTCAAACTGGAATATGTCCACAGTCCATTCAGACTAACGGCTGACTAATTCTCTTGTGCTTGTGTTGGGGAAACCCACCAAAAACTACAAAGGTTCACACAGTGCTGGAGTTGTCTGGGCATAGACCAGTGGCCCTAAAGCACTTGCACCAGGCTAGCCCTTGAACCATAACAGTCACTAAGCTGAAAAAGCAGAAATCCCATCCACAATGACTTTCTGTGTAATTTATAAAGCTATCTGGTGTTCTCACTTGATCACTGTGGGATCTACTGTGATATGGAGGATCATAAAGCTCTGAGACAGTACAACAATGGTTATCAACATCTATGTTAAATGTTTATGTAACTTTGTCTAACAACATTAATTTAGTACTGAATACAAAGCAGCACTAAAAGAGAAAGCTGATCCATGGGACTTTTAAGAAATGTTTCTGTTCCTCTATTGCCACTTAGAATTCAGGCCAGAATTTGGCCACAGCAACTTTTCGGGGAAGTGTTAAGTGGAATGGTCTTGGGCTAGTCCACATCACAAAATAATCTTTATTGTCACTGATTTTTTTAAACTGCAGCTGCTCAGTGATCTGAAGGTTAAGCTTGATTCTGCCGTAATCTTGGGAGCATGACTCAGGACTCTGAACAGAAACACATACTATCGCTGACGATCCCCCATAGAAAAAGGGAAGACCTCACATCCAAAGGGCTTATAATACAATAAGTTTTGCAGACTACAAATCTCTCTATAAAGAATACAGAAAAATATATTTCAGAGTTCATGTTACGGTCAGTGACCTAAGTTTAAATGGCTCCATTGATCAAACCAGTAGAAGTATACTACAAATGAATTTTTATTGACTGAATTGGATAAACAGATTCATTTTTAAAAAAATCATATTACAAACTGCTGGAGTACCATAAAAACAGTTTGTACATGTGGAGATACCATTCTTAGCCTGCACAGCTCCTGCAGCGTTGTAGCCCGTTCTCATTGCAAGCGGTACATTTGAGGGCTTTGAAAGAGTCCGTAAAGCAGTTCCGAAACACAGACATCTTGCTCCCATGGCACGCTGAGCACGGCAGGAAACCAAAGCCCCCGCAAGAGAGGCACTCGTGAGGATGCTGGACTCTCTGCTCAAAGAAGAAAGTGAGAAAGACAAAAATGTTACCTCATCAACCACCATAAGCTCTAGGACAGCGAGGACTCCAGGACAGCTGACAAGACACATTCTGGTTCCCATCTTGAGCCATACCCACTGCCCCATCCCAAGGTATACCACCATGGAAGAACAGTACCTCTGCCTTTTCCTTTGGTCAGATCCACATGCAATGGTCAGAGAGGCTCATTGCAGGTTCATCAGTCACATTATATCTTAGTAGCCTGTGTTTATACTTAACAAAATAGCTAGTTAAAGGATAGCTTGCGTACATTATTCTGATGTAACTTTAGGTCTAGATCAATTCTAGGAGGCATTGCAATTGATTGAACCTAAACTCCAGGCAGTTTATATTGGTGTTATATTTTCTATGCTGTATGTTAAAATATTATGACTTTTAGCATGCTTGTATTGAATGTGTTGTTCCTATTACAGTTAGAGTTGATCATATCAAAAAGCAATTCATAGCTTTTGACAAGTAGTGCTTGAGGAAATAAGTGGTGTATTCAAATTTAAGGATGTAGAAAGCCAAATCTGTAAATGTAAAAGAGAAAGATCATCAATATTCAACAGTTATACCTGGAGAAAATTACTGCAAGCGAGGCATGGGCTCTCTCAATTGCCCTAATTCCTGAGTAAAACAATAATTTTACTCTTTTTTTTATTATTATTAAAGACAATGGAGAACACAGGAAGATATTTCAAAGACATTTTTAAGTTTCACTTGCTGAAAATGTTGCTAGTTTGTTTAATGACTGCCTTAAAGTTCTATGTCAGAGAAGTGAAAGGTGCATCACGTTGGATACTTACCACAGCACAGATACATGGCTTTAACATTGCCCTGTTGAATAAAGACTTTACAGATTTATTTATAAAGGAAGAACAGTAACCCATACAATTCTGCTAGTGTTAGTCTGAGGAATTATTCACCATTAAAAAATTAGTGACAAATTATTACCAGAGTATACTAAAATACATACAGATAACGTAGCCCTTGCAGCTTCATTGAGAAAACTGAAGAGGTTTCTACAAAATCATTAATAATAGCATTCATCTATTGACAACTCAGATGAACATGGAAAAAAGGTACTTTTTCTTTTTGTCCTGTAGCTCATAAACTTGCCATTCTTCTTGTTTGGAAGTATGTAATGTAATGGACAATGTCTGGAAGTATGTAATGTAAAATTAACA